GCTAACACTATATTCTTTGCCATCAAATTCATCGCTCATCTCAATGCCTTTATTCTTACCCAGCACGTCGTCCGGAGTATCTTGCTCTTTCTCATCCTCTCCCTGCAGAGACAACGGAAAAAACAAAATTGGTGAAAAAATCCCAAGCATAATTCAGGAAGCAGAGACGATATATACCTTCTTTTCTGTGCCACGCAGTTGATCCTCATCTTCTATTTGGTCACTTACATCTTTTGCCCCCACACCATCTCCCATACCAGTACCTTCTGCAGCTTCTGATTTGTCAGCTTTAGAGCCATCATCTTCATCGTTTTTGGAGATGCCAAATCCTTTTGTAAATAGATCGGCAAGAACAATTGCAAGGACATGGGTTATCAATGACACCTACAAACAAAAAAATTAAAGCTCAATATCAATTAATGGTGAGTCCATGACCGCCTCATTGTCCAAAAATAACTATTGTCCCGAATGCCTTTGAAAGAATAGCATAAGATAAAACATACCGTTTTACTCATCGCCAAAAAATCTTTGAGGTAACAATCACCAAAGCTCAATAAAAGATCCAAAAATGCTTGAAGTTGCCTCAACTGGTCTCCAACACAAGCGGAAAGGACGCCCGATGAGTTCAACAGTTGTTCCTGCGAAGATAACAGCCTTGGTTCAATCCAAGCTTAAAGATAAAAGAAAAATAGCATCCCCATACTTCAAAATACAATCCAACTTACGATGGAACCAAATGTTTCTGACAGCAGGTTATCAAGGTTCAGGTCATTTTGTGCCTTCTTAAACAGACCATCCCATGTAGTAATATTCGATTCCTCTTCTTGAGAAACACTTCCGGCTTTATAAGAGCAAAGCTTTCCAATCACATCCTTAACATTTGCAAATGTACTTGCAAGATTGTCTTCAAAAACTAAATGTTTCCTGGGCTCCATTCCAGTTGATTGGTCTCCCATTTTAAGTAAACAGTTCAGATTCCCAGCCAGCAATTTTCCCTGCATTAAATACATTTCTTAAATCCGACTCTAAGAACCCTAAACACAATCTATTTGCAAGGCTAGCATCTGGGAAAAGGTCAACAGAATCCATTAAGGTTGAATAAAGGATACCTCTTTAAACACGGGGGAAAAATGACTAAGAAGAACGTCTCTAGCATAGCTTTTCTCATTGTCTTCACAGAAAGTCGAAATTTGATTCTCAAGATCCGTAAGCTGATCAAAGTTCAGTAGTAGCAGCTGAACCATATGCTGTGTGACAAACTGATTAAGACAGCTACTTGGTGTGATGATAAAACCGTTGGAATCAAGAAGAATCCTATCCAGTGAAGCCTGATGACAAACACATACTCAGGCTATTGCAAGAAATAACAGACAAGAAAGATTCAAAAGAAGCCCAAGGATTCTGTACCTTTGAATTTTGAGCGGTGGGAATTGCAGTAATGTTATCAAAGAGTTTCTGTCATATCAAAAAAGTAACAGCTTAACCCAATGTTGTTGCAACAGAGGTTCAGTGCACATCATTTAAGTTAGAAAGCTGAAATACCTTCTGTAGCCACAAGCAATTGAAGATAGCATGTTGATTTTGGGGAAAACTCAACACAGAATCATCCTCTCTGTTCCCCTCCATTGAATCCCCCATTAATTTTGCCAAAGATAAAACACATTGGCGAAAGCAGTTTAGAAGTTCAGCAAAGCCATAAGCAGTTTGTCTTTGCCGCCGTTGTATATCCACAAGATGGTTGAGAAATGAAATTGACCGCTTAACCTGTTAACATAGGAAATTTAGTGCGAGGACTCTACAAGTTTGAAACAACTGGTTAAGTGAGACTCAGAGAAGCCCAGATATAATTTACAAGCACCAAAGACTACCTGCTCCGATGTAACGTCTGAGTGTTTTCGGTCAATATTTAACACAAGTTGCACCGAAGCCAAGCTCTTAAAGTAAAACTCATTTGCCGCTCTCCACTCCACCGGTGAATTTTTCTTGTTTTGATCTTCCACAACCCTAGAAGGATGTATGCTACTCTTGGTATGTGTTAGTAGCAACAGATGCTTTGGGTCATATGCTGGCTGATAAAACAGCCCTTTAAAGTGATTTGACATCTATAAAAGAAGATCATCAGAGAATATAGTAGATCWATAAATAAASCATGACTGYWAACATAAACAGACATCYACAAGCAAAAGTKTKTTASCTCMACATTTTCAAACTTGTGRTTCTGCAAACCACTATCTTCTAATAACTTGAGAAGTGCAGGCAGGGCCCTCTTTTTTGCAACATCTCTGTCATTGTTTCTCCATAGATCTGAACAGCCAGCTATCCTTTCACCAATCAAATTTATCCAATCACCCTGATAGACAGGGGAAGAATACTGATGCTCTGCAAAGATATTATGCATGCTTATGAATATGCAGACTCCCCTCTAAAAACAAACAAACATATAGAACCAAAAAGTGAATGGAACTAGTGTACAAACGAACCTTCACCCATCAGCAATGTTTTAAGTTGCATATCTTGGTGGAAGCTTCCTACCAATTCCTTCATTTTATCCCTCCAAACAGCATACCAGGAAAACCTACCACAAAAAGTTTAAAGCATAAATGGAGGGTTCAGCTTCCATAAACTTCTACCAATGCAGAAAGGCACAAGATGTAAAGGTATACCTGTCATTCAATTGTTCTGCATCTAAATCACTAATTAGAACCTTGATACTCATGTCGGATGCTCCATTCCCAAGATCTGGACCAATAAGAGGGAGAAATTGAGCTCGTTCCTTTGTTAGGGTTGGCCTAACAAGCATTACAGGGAGCTGCAGCATATCCTGCTCAAGAAAAAAAAGATGCCATTTAGAATTCTCTTTGATAAATTTCCGTCATTTCAAGTTAAAAATAAGGTAACAGATATAATTCAGGTTGTGTGTTTGTATATAAGAACCCCAAGAAAATGAAAAAGAAGAGGCACCACCCATTACTTACAGTAAACTTCTGTATCAGCTTCTTGACCTTTTGCCTGGTTCTTCTAGTGGTCTCAATGGACAAATAATTATCAGGCCTCTCCCACCGACAAAGTTTTAGAACCTCCTTCAACTCAGCTTCAACATTCTTTCTATTCATATCTAATTGCTCCATTACGCTMGTAAAATAAATTTTGAATTGAGAACACTACCCCGGCCAAACAATCTTGAACTGATAAAACCAAAGATAGAATTCCAAAGAAGCTTACACCGGTAGGAACTGAATATAGAATCCAAAAATATTGTAGCAAATTTCCACCTTTCTTTTGTGTGAATCACTGTCAAAGTAAAAGCATGAGTTAAAAGGCAAAATACAACCAACAGTGTGAATTGAAGGAAAGACTGCTGTAAAGCCCTTTAAATCCTTCAAGATTGAAACCGGCGAAGAAGAGAAGATAATTGGTGATAGATCTTGAATATATCCCCAACGAGTTACCCATACTTAACTGAAGAAGAAAGCAAAAGAGAAGCTGAAGACGTCTCCGGAATTTACCAATATTAGATGTTTCAATGAACTCCACCAAACTGCATCAAAAATATATCTTATAGGACCGTATACTAGAAAGAATACAAATGAAAGCACCACAATATCGTTTGGTTCACACCTCTGTGAAATAGACTCATTTTCAAGTTCTGAAATTTCAACACAATCCTTCTGGAACAGAACCGAAAACAAAGGAAGCCACAACTGCAAAGAGAAAAAGAAATAAGTGTTACCCTTCACAGATTCTTTTGACTCCAAGTTCATAGGAATCGGTGAATGAATCCAGCCTTCTACTGTCCGTAATACAGAATCTTACAGACTGTATATAACAGACCGTCTTGTTAGATACAAAGGAATTGCGACTGGGCCTAATGCAACATTGCAGATTTGCATATAGAAAGGGTTGTTGCCATACCTTTTCAGAGAGATGACAGAAACCAAATAACTCATTATGTGTGCTATATATATCATCCAGATGCTCCTGTATCAAGTCCCAATCATCCTCCAAATTCTCTTCATCCTGGTCAGTTTGTGTCTGTGGAAAGCAAAAGAAAAAACCTAAAATGATAAACAAGAGGATTTACGAGCTCCAATCGAGCATAAGAATGAAAGGTTTACCATAAGCTTCATATCATCATCAGCCAGATAATCTTGCCATTCTGAGAAACTGTCATTTGGGAAGTACTTGGCAAGGGCAGATATATCTACTTCCATGACATTCTCAATTCTGAAGTCACGGGATCGAAATCTGTACAGCCCAGAAAGAGCTTCGGCCTTTGTTTTTGCTTGAAACTTCCTCTCCATCCAGTTTCTCGCCAATTCAAAATATATTTTATCCAATATCTGCAGATGGAACTCTTGCAACATCAGATAACATATTTACATATTCACATGCATACAACCGAGCAAATATCTTACCTCGAAAGAAGCTTTATCCAGTATTTGCAACGAAATGCAAAACACGAGCATGCAGATATTTATATAGAACAATTTTAAGTTGCAACTCGGAGACCTACAACGATCAAGGAGAACATAATGAATACGTAAGTAACTTTCAAAATTCTGACAATTCTTTTGAAAGAAATAACAATCATTGTGTAAAAGAAAATCATAAATCATAAAAATCGTAAATACAGGAGATCGTATGAAACATTACCTTTCTCAAATCTTCTGCACTTGAAACAGAGATCAATTTGTGCAGCAAGCCAACATCCAAACCTAAGGACTTAGCACGTGAATCTGCATCATGAGAAAGTTGCAAAGGTGGCAAGCTCTCGATGTACGTAGTTGAAGCTAAGGAGGATCCCCTTGGAAATCTCATTAAGGCATTAATTGTTTCCTGCCAGGATCATAAATCATTACTTATTTGTCTACACGAAATGACATGTACAAACATTTCTGATAAACAAAAAGATTACATACCATGACTGGGTCAACCATGTCTATGTCAAATTTGTTGAGAACTTTTCCCAAGAGAACACCAGAGACAGAGAGTGATAAACCCAACTTCATCTCGTATACCGAAACTTGTATTGGCTGAGTTATATCAACATAATCGGAATAATCACTAGATAGCCGATCAATAAAAGATGTTGCCGTCTCCTGCAAAATCCAAGGATTCAAGATTTTGGAAAAGAAGTTTGAGGGCTAAAACAAAAGGAATACAAATGAGAGTTCTGCAAGCAATATACCTGCCAGTTGAAAACTTGCTCAACAACCTGGTTCCAGTCAAGAACTTTAATATCSTTAACCAGACTTACGGGACGTGTGAGAAATCCTGRAAACTCATRCAGCGCTCTTCTCAAATCCTGGTACTTTTTAGGATCGGAGCGGAAAATAACCTGTTTTTAAAACAAAAGAAACAACAAATGAACATGGCAAGATGGGGTAGGGCACAACATAGCAATCATACAGCAAAAAGAAGCAAAAGGTACAATGGTTGCTACATACCTTTCTTTGCAATCTTTTKRGCTCAGTCTTGAGCTTAGATAATTTWTGTTCAGTTCTTTCGTCATTGTTTTCAGTGTAAAGCAATCCAGACAGATACTCACATTCTCCCCGGACCTGTTAATATATTGATGTAGGTCGATCAATAAAACAAACACAGACAATATGCAACTGCTACTGTGAACCTACACAATGCAAAGAGCAACCACCTTGARGTTTAGTTCCAATGATGAAATTTTCTCTTCTACTTCTAACAGCTTGCAACTGATCCTCATGGCTGGATCTATAACATCCAAGCCATTCAAAAGATGGAACCGTAGCCCTCCAAGATAAATCCAGGCCAAGCCAAGATTGAGATAGAATTCTACAAAAGTTGGGCATAAAGCTGTAAAAAACAATTACACCCATCGAGGACAGATTACCTTGCGGAGACAAATTATTACAGATTATATATAAACTATTTACACTACCATTTGATGAGCACTCAGAATAAAGATATATCGCCAATGGTGAGACACATGAGTGTGTAACAGATTTCAATTTCTGATGGCTTGATGAGCCGATCAGTGAGATGAGAAACTTGATGCCCTCCATCTGCATAATCGAAAAAAAAGCATAAACTTGGAGGTGTAGCTACGCTTCACAGAGAAGCTAAACTTTTACGAGGATTCCAATATGTTTTACAAGAAAGAGGAAAGGAAGAATGGAAATTACAACTTTTGAAATCATACCTTGTTCTGCTTCTTCTCGATCGCAAGAAACGCAGACTTAATTTTTTCAAACGTTTCTTGCTCAAACGACTTTTGGAGCGTATATATTATCTACAGAGGTTGAATTCAAGATAAAAATCGCATATAATGAAAAGAAACAGAAGAAATTAGTCAAACATATCACGACTCCATTACCTGTTGGAAAAGGGTACGCGCTATTGACAGTAGAGAACCAGACATCTCTTGGGAGGGTTGTGAGCTTTTCCATAGAAGTCGTGACGCAGAAAGAAGTTTCATTGATTGAACAGGATAATCCTTTACAGGAAAAGCATTTTCCCTGCATAAACATTAATATAAGGAGCTTAGCTTATGGTTAATGTATCTATAGTTTTCCATCATCCAACATTCAAAGTGCACTATCCTGGAGGGTAATCATTGCAGTCACAATGAAATGAACCAATAATTGTGCCAAATGAATATTAGATTTATCAATGGCAAGGAAAAGTATGGAACATTAGCATGCTCATAATTGATAAGAGATCTGCCACAAAAATGTAAAGATCTCTTATCAATCATAATGGAGATACATCACTTACAGAATCTGATCAACAGTAGCTGTTTTAACAGGCTGAATCAGCATAGAAGGTGACAGAATCCAACAGTTGCCGATCTCTGAGATACTCTGTACACCCTGTGATGAGATGAAAGAGAGATGTTACATAATGCGCAATCTAAGTAACAACTGAGTTAAAGTCATTTTATTTAGTGTACCATGAGACTGATTTGACTATCTTTCCACAAGACAGAATGCCACCAGTACCACATCTCAAGAACAAAACCAGCAATTTTGGTGTCAACTGCAACACAGCAAAAGATAATCAGCCAGTTTACGAGTACACATACAAATAAATAATTGAATATCCAACTTTATTACCTCCTAGTACAGAGGCACGTGCATCAATTGCCCACAAGAGCTTTTGATGAGCTACAAGAGTCTGTGGAGATCTCGTTGTGGATAATGAATACTCTAGAGCAGGTTTAAGCAGGTTTCGAATGTCCACAAGATCCTGCAACCCAAGAAAAGTCAGTTTTGGAGAAGTAAACAGGAAAATGACTTTAACCAGGGATTTACAAAAAGCAGTGTACCACATGCACATTTTATCTGACAAATTTGAAATAAAACAAGAACATTAAAAAGACAAGAGATTCCAAATATTGACTAATCTTATGTTCAGTAGATTGAGCCACCAAGAGGTTCTGAAGTATCGCAAGTAACTCTACATCTAAAGAACTACTTTCACTGCTAGCAATAGAACATATCTTCAACCAAGTGTTAAGGCCAAGCCCTGTAGCTACAATCTCTGGTCGTAAAACACAGCACACAGTCGATTTATTTTCGATATTATCAATCTCACTGGAACCCAT